AGCAGGGTCATATGGTAAATATGTGGCCACCAACTCATCCCTACAGCTGATGTTGTGCTATAACAAATAATATGATACCAGCTGTGCAAGAATCCCCAGACCTACCTACAGAAGTGCATAGGAGTGACACCTAGCCTTGGAGCAATCCTTCTTGCCCAAGTCAACTCACCTTGCTAGCTCTTCCTGAAACAGGATGACTCACTGCCTTTCTAGATCCAGAGTTTGAGAGCTCTCTCTTTGTTCAAGGGTTTCAGGGGTCTAACTGACAAATTCCCAAGTTACCTTTTTTTTTGTCTTAAAGAATATTTATGGATATGGGTCCTCGTGTAAAAGGAATTCTGGTGGTCTGCTGCCTGGGTATCCCAAGGTTCTCTGGATGTGCTCAGCCTGCATTGGATATCAGCATAACCCTGGTCACACACAGTTTAATAAATTGTATGTTGTTAAAAAAGGGGAAGAGATTAATATGGCTAAGTTGATATGGAAAAATATTTTCAGTGGCAGAAAATTCCCTTCTTTGATTGTTTCTTCCCCCATAGTCTTGAAAGAAAGTCAACTGTTTGGAGCAGACTAAAATCTGTCTTGAAAATTAGGGAGTAAATTTTATTTAATTCATTCAATGAACATTTGCTGTTCCATGCATCAGACACTGTGTGAAGTCCTGTGCCAACACAGATGATGTTCCTTGATTTGTAATGGGCCTCTCTGTATGCAGGATTGGCTACACAATTTGAGGGACCCAGAATAAAATGAAAATGCAAGGTTTCTCCTTCGAAAATTATGAAGACTCTTGAAGTTGGTGATAGAGCATTACATTAAGGGCAGGGCCTTTCTGAGTGTGAGATTCTGTGTGTTGTGCAGCTTGCATGTGCACGAAACCATCCCTGGCTGTATGAGCATGGGTGTACTTTAACTATGTTCCTCACCATGCCATGAAGAAAATAGGGGACACTATATTTCCTTCCTATGGAGTAGATACATGAGGTAGCCCCAATGATTCCTCTCCTTCTTCAGACTGTTTGCACCATAGGCAAACAACAACAAAAACCTCACAGTTTGTAATTCTTTTAAAGAGCAAAACTCATTGCTTTTAATTATGATCTATCATAATTTAGTTACAATATGGCATAATCAGTAATCATTAGTTAATTATAAATATGTATTCCCTATAGCAGTTTTCATGTTAAATCTCCCGTTTTCTTATTATTGTGTAAAAACTTATTGTTTATAAGCTCCTCTGTAATAGGTTTTACATACAGTTAATTTTGGTTTAGTTTGTATCCTGGATTATAACAGTCTACAAAATAGCAACTCAATACATTTTAGCTGAGAAAGACAGTTGACCGGTTGTGTTTCAAAGGGATACAGTGATTTGCAATGCCTGAATTTGCAAATTTCAAGTCTTTATTATGCTAAACCAGAGGGAAATGGTGTATCCTGAGAGGAAAATGGCAGATTTCTACAAGCTGTATAATGTACCTTAAAATAATTTAAGTAATAAGTTTCATCTCAGGATTTTCATTAACTCAAGCAGCATGTATTATAAAACACATCAGGCTGATGTATTATAAAAATTCTGAATTTTTTTAAGAAGGAAGGGCTTATATAAAATATTTAGATGAAAAAGCTTCTAAAGTGAGAATAAAGTGTCTTGGGAATTATTCATAAAAATTATAATAAAATTATCCTTTGTAGCATCAATATTTGTCCTGAAATTTAATATATAATCATATTGTGAAGGTCATTTTCTTTTTCAAGGCTGGACTTCTGAACTGATCTATCTTCCCTTATGTATTCTTTATCCTGCTGTGATGCTCCTGTGGACCTGGGCTCTGCTCTCTGCAGGACTGTCTCACTCTCCCATTTGCAGATGCCATCATTTCAGGGACAAGGAAAGGCTGCACATCAGATGCAGGCAGAAACTGAAGCTCTGGGTATTCCAGCCTGCTATCTACAGGCTTGTTTCACCCTGCTTGGTTTCTGAAGTGGTGGGAACTTGAGAAACAATACACTGAGAGTCCCTTTTCTACCATTGAGAACGATCTGTAAATAGTCTGTTAATTTGAGCTCATTGTCTGGTACATAAGAAAGATTCAGCTCTGGCTAAGCAGAGGTCTGCATCTTCTCTTATTCTTTCAATCCCATTGGAAGTATGGCCAGTCTGCTGCATAGACTTGCTTGATGGGCTCCTGCCTTCTGGTTCCTACTCTAGTTCTTTCCTGGGACTGGATTCTAGACCATGGGGTTGCCTGGTACCCCACCTGATTTCCAAGCTCCTGTCAGGCTCTTCTCTCTGCTTCAAGCATTTATTAGAGAGACTTGAATGTCTATCAAGTCTAATCTGACTCTGCCTGCCAGTTGACTAGACACCTCTTCCATTGACTGGACGTTCTTCTGTGCTCTTTCTCCTGGCCCTTGGAATGAGATGTTGGTAATGTTGCAGCCTGCCCAGACACATGTAAGCATTTGCAATGCTCCAGTGAGACTGCTGATCTCTGCTCATAGTGGCCTCACCTTATTGGTAGATTTCTCTCAGCTCCTACTCCATGCTGGTCTTAAAGGCTCCAGATTGTTACCAGGGCTTGGGCAACTATAACAGCAACCAGGAGATTGATTGAGATTAGTCATTAGTTGCAGTGGCTTATCAAAGTGCCTTGGATGTGATCTGAGTTGAGTGGTTGTAACTGAATTGATCTCCTCTATTGACAAAATATAAAAAATATTCCATGTATTTGCAGAACAATTCTTGTGAGGTAACAAAGAAAAGAAAGTACCATTATATGAGCACGTATCAGCCTACCTTCACCCCTCCTGTGGGGTAAAAATCAAAGTGTGCCTGCTTTTCTTTTAACCAGAGAGGCTGATGATCCATGATCCTCTCCAGTTTAGTGGCTCCAGGAGACTAAGAAGTTCTGGAGTTGACACGGGCTTCTGTTTTTTTCTTTGGTGTCTCCGTGACTGAGAATTGGCTCCAGAGCTTGCTCCAGAACAATCAGGGGGAAGTGAATTTTCAGCTCTCATTAGGCAAGCCCCTGACTACTAAGGACCTACTACTCTGCTTTATCTCTCTCTTCTCCATTCTGAGCCTGCTCAGAAACAGAGATTTTTCCCTGGACAAAGTTGCCTGGTAGTAAATGTTACAAAGAAGGGTGCTTTCTGCATCTACCATCTCCCATCTGGGCCCTGGCTTTTTTGTTCCCTGTACCCTCCAGGTTCCTTGTTTCATGTCAAGACCCATTTTCAGGTTCCATTTGGGAAAAAGTAGTACACTTTCATTATAAACTGTAAATAATAGCTAACTATTGTCTTATTTTTATTAGATATGTACATATGTCTAATGTGTATATCAAATATGATATTATCTATATGTATGATACTTATGAACAAAAAAAGACATGAATTATTTTTAATGCTAGGTGTGTAAGTAAAACAATCATTTGAATGAAGCTAACAAATCAAAACCTAAATAGTGAGGATGAGGAAATTTGAAGTTGGGTGAGAAAATTTGACCGAAAACATAGGTTAAGAATACTAAATATAATTGAGAATTAATGTTCTCTCTAAGCTTTCTGATATCTGAGGGCAAAATGACAATATGATTGGGTTCATAGATCTTATTTTGTCCTTGATGAAAGGAAACACAAATGTTTAAAAGGAGAGATAAAATGATAAAATATCTATTATCTCTACACTTTGAGAAAAATTTAAACTCACAAATCCTCTTATGTAAGGGTTATGAATATATATTACACATTACTGTATGTTTATGTAATATATACATGGTCTATACACAGTGCATATGTATGACTATACATATTTATAGAGGGTATATATATGACTATAATTTTTAAAATTTTATTAGGGAATAATTATTGAGCCCAAAAGGAGTGTGAAAGGATATTTAGGTGGTGTGCATTGTTCCTTATCTCCTCAGGCCACACCACCAACACTACCCTTGGATCCATGCTTTTCTCTGCAGGAAGCAGAATGCTCTTCACCAAGTAGGAAGCACATTCCCATGATGCCCTTCTCCAGTACAGTGTCTAGGGGTTTCAGGACATGTCTAGTCCCAAAGCTGTACAACTAATTCAGTAATTCCTCAGTCTATGAGATTACCCTCTGGTAAAGTCACCCTGGCTCGAGGGTTGGGTTGGCACAGATCATTATTAGTAGTTATTTGTCATTGGTCTTTTAGTGTATTACATTTTTAGTGTAGATTTTCTACTTAAAGTCAACCCTGGCAGCCAGATTGGCTGCTGTAATGAAGTTATGCGGATATATTTTCTACTCTGGGTTAGTGACATAACTGAATAGGCTTTCTTTGGGTTAAGAGTAACAAGTTAATCTTTGCAACTTTAAAATTATTTTCTGCTTGCTATATTAGAAGATACAAATATCAATTGTTTGGGATTTTTTTGTTTATTTTTCTTCCAATACTTAAGTAAAATGCCATTAGTAGGAGTGATTTTCCGTTAGAAAACATTTTAATCTGTGCATGCGTATATTCTTTCTAGAAAAAGAAAAACATTCATTCATGAGAGTCCAGGGATACATGAAAATAAAGCAAATGAGGAAAGACCCATTCACATTCCTCCAAAAGATCATAGAATATTAATGCTGAAAAGAGTATCAACTAATATGTAGAGATAAAAATCAGTAGTATTCTACCTACAGTTCTTTCATTTTAAAATAATATTTATGAAGAATTTTACAAAGGTAATCAGCCATGAAGTAATGATTCAAAGTACTTAGACTTCTAGAAGAAGTATTTAGCTTGGGGTAAAAATGACTTAGCAATGGGTATTTCCTTGGTCCTGGAGAATGCCACTGTGCTCACAGACGTGAACACACGGCTCTGAAAAGCTAACCACACCTGCGGTGTTACTGGCTGTTTCTCTTAGAAGTTCTTTCTGATATCTGTGCCCTCTTTCCAGATCTGCTGCTCCCTGGAATCATGTTCCTGGCTCCTGGTAGTCCCTGACTTTACCTGTCTGTTCCAGGAACTTGCTTCATGGCCATTTGTTCTGATGATCAGTTTGGACAACCACCCTTTATTCCACCACCTCAGACCATAGTCAACATCGTGTAACCATCATAGCAGTAAGTAAGTACTTATTTCTTCCCTCATAGACTGCTTTATTTTGAAACAATTTTTCAGATGGTGTCTTTCTTGAATAAGCAGAGGATGCTTGGAAGCATTCCTCACATACACTGTGTTGGGTCATTCTTATCTTCATATCATGTCTCAAATGTAGGCAAAATCTATAGGTGTCTAAACCTACCAGTGCTTCTTTTCATGCTTGACACTCCCTTAAGAGGAGAATCAAATGGAGAACAGGAATATCTATCACATAATTAGGGACAAACTTTAAAGGGCAAATATTTCAGAGAGATACTGAATAGGGGGTTGAATTCATCCTAGGTGTAAGTGACTGATACCTGATCTTTTCCCTAGTCATATGGGTGGTGACGAGTGGAGGCAGAAACAGACAGGTAACAAGGGAAATGAATGTGTTCAGAGAAAATCTGGGAGCAATGTGGAAAAAAAAAAATTGGACGGGTTGGGGAAGAGGCAAACCTGGAGACTGGGAAACCTCATAAATTTTACCTACCTCAAAATGGTCCCTGAAATCAGCTCTGCATAAAACTTAAATAAGTTTTGGATTACCGTTCTGGTTACATGCCTCCCCTGGCCAAAATATTAATAATTGGAAGTTGATGAGACATGAAAATTTAGGTGGAAATCCCTAAAGATGAAAGTGTGTAAATGGCAATCATCACTCTACAATACGATACTGGTACCCACTGATTCTTAATTCACATCTCCCTCTCAGTGCCAACTTGCTTTTCCCCCGGTTTTTCTTATGTCAGTAAATGACACTTCTTTTATTCCAAAACTTAGGCTGAAAACTTTGTAGTCATCATGATTCCTCTATTTCCTTCAGATTATGGGGTCAGCATAAAATGCAAATTTGTTTCTATAGCTGACAGGCCCTTCAGGGTCTGGATCCTGGTTAATCCCTGGCTTTGTCTCCTTCCATCCTCCCCTTGCTCATCACACTCCAATGCCGTGGACTTTCTGCTGTTCTTGGAACACACATATGTGCTCCACCTCAAGGCCTTTGCACATGCACTTCTCTCTGTGTTACTCTTTTCCTGAATATCCCTCTGGTTCACTCCAATCAGGTCTCTGCCCACATAACATATTACAGAGGCCTTCCCTGGCTACTGTATCTTAATTAGCACTTCCCATTACTCTCTGTTTATTTTGCATTTTTTTCATTATAGCATTTACTATTACCTGACATGACATAATATTATGTGCCATGATGTTATGTATTTATACATGTATTGATGTATTGATCAATTGTGTCTCTCCCACTAAAAGGTGTTATATCAGTTTTTCATATCTGTTATTTGTTTCTCTTTTGTAGTCTCAAGATTTGTTGAATGAATAAGTAAATGAACAAGAGGGTGATGTTCTTGGGAGGTAGCCATAATCTAGAACTATGTACATTAAAACGACGTTATGGTTCAGGCAAGGGTAAATAGTAGGCAACTACATAATTTTCAGGGTGTTAGGTGTGGAAGCCACTTACTGTTTAACCCTAGGTACTGCCTGATTCCCTTGGTTACCAAGGATAGGTCTTGCCATCTGGTGGGTCAGAGGTAAAAAACTCTATCCTGGTGCCTCCCTGGGGAAACCAGTCCCCATGCAGAAGATGACAACAAATCTAGGGAAGGTCTTTTTAAACTTCTTGAACATCAGTTTTTTTTTTTCTTTATGAATTAGATTACTGTCAGATGCTTTTCTAAGGAAACTCACATCACAAACACTTAAAAATAACAAAAGTAAACCCAGCAGTGACAATAACTACACATTCCTGAGGAACTTGGGGGAGGAAGGAGACAAGTTTCAAGCCAGAGTTTCATCGTGACTAAGTATCCTATAACTTTGTCTGACAACCCTCTCAAACTGTGGGGGTGTCCTATGGGGACTGCTTCCAGTCTGGGCTACTTGGTACAAAGGTATGAATACATTAACAATAGACAATATAGACAAATTCTCTACTTGTATAAGGTAAAACTATATGATCCTTGTAAACAGAGAAGTCTCTTCTTTCTTAAGTAAAAGACAGACTTGAAATAGACCAATAAATTGATAAAAGGAACCAACAAGTGCATGGTGTATAGAATTTGTGAGGCCATGACTGGCCAGACTCTTAAAAGCATGGAAAGTGTGAATTTCAGAGACATGGAAGGGCTCAGCGACTACAGAGATAAAATAGTAAAAGAAAACACAATCCAGGAAGAATAAAATGGAAATTTGAGCCAGTAGCTGTTTTCTTATTTATAAAGGGGTCTTTTGCAGAAAAGAAGGAACTGCTGCTTTTTACTGCCTTGTTTTTGAAGTCCCCCATGACAATCTACTCCTGTGAAACTCATACCCAACTTTCAGAGCAGTTCCTCGACTATGTGATGGTTGAACTTTGCAGCCTGGAATGTCCTTCATCTCCCTTTGTTATCTGTTATTTAGATTTCAAGGTAGGCACCTCCCCAAACCCTTCTATAAAAACAAATGCTCTGTGTTCTTTTCTTCCGTGGCGTCATCACTTGTTTACACCATCACTGTGCCACACTGGCCCACGGTAGCGCTTTCGAGACCTGCTCCTCTGATAGTCTGTGATTTTTCATCAAGGCAGTATTGCCTTATTCATTTCTGTCTTAGTTTAACAGAATTTTTAGAGAGTAGAATTTTTAGCAGATTTCACCTTGTCTACTAGTATTTTCAATGCTTCAGTTTTCTTTTATTATTTATTTATGTATCTATTTTTAAATTTTATATTCAAGAGGTACATGTGCAGGTTTGTTACATGGGGTATATTGTATAATGCTGAAGTTTGGGCTTCTATTGATCCTATCATCCAAGTAGTGAATATAGTACCTGATAGATAGGTTTTCAACCCTTGCTGCCTCTCTCCATCCTCCTTTTTGGAGTCTCCAGTGTCTATCCTTCCCATTTTTGTGTCCATGTGCACTTAATGTTTTAGCTCCCACTTACAAGTGAGAACATGTGGTATTTGATTTTCTGTTTCTGCATGAATTCACTTAGAATGACGGCCTTTCAGCTGCATCCATGTTGCTATAAAGGACATAATTTTGTTCTTTTTTTTTATGGCTATGTAGTAGTCCTTGGTATATATGTACCACATTTTCTTTCCAATCCATCATTGATGGGCTCCTGGGTTGATTCCATGTCTTTGCTATTATGAATAGTGCTGTGATAAATATACAAGAGCATGTGTCTTTTTGGTAGAATGTTTTATTTTCTTTTAGGTATATGCCCAATAATGGATTGCTGGGTGGTAAGGTAGTTCTATTTTAAGTGTTTTTGAGAAATCTCTACACTGCTTTCTACAGGTCACTCTCCCAACTTTAAAGTAATCTGTGTCTCCACTAACATTGTGTTAGTATTTCTCCTGCTGCATTTGTCATAGTCTGTGCTGCCTTAGAACTACCTGAATTTATGTGGGACCCTCTTGAGGGCAAGAGCCAAGTCTGATCTTGTATTCTCTAATATGCCTATCACAGTAGCTGGTCCTTAGTGAATGCTCAAAAACAATTTCTACATTGTACTGGAGGAGCTATTGGTGTAGTTGAAAACTTTTTTTTAACTTAGGTAAGAAATTGTCTGACTGTGATGGTTGTTAATCATTGTTTAGGTAATATGATGTGTAATTTATTTTTTGAAGATTATGTAACTAAAAATGGAATAAGTTCATATCTTTGAAGGGAGAAGAATGGATGTCATGACCTTACAACTTAGCTTATTTTACATCCAAAATTTAGTAAATTTCCTCTACTTTTATATCTAATTTTCAAAATGATATTTGTACTCTACCTTAATAATTTCAAGCATGCTAATCTAAACATGCATGTGAAGTTCTATAGCGAATGGAAATTCGGAAATACCAAAGGCTATTACAACTACAACAAGCTTGGCCACAAGAGACCATAGTACATTTAAAATAAAAATCCTGTAAGATCCAAAAGATTGAATTGCTAATAGTGGAATTTCAGGCACAGAGGAGGAAAAGGGTAGATTTCATGATAAGGTTTGATCAGCCTTTCAAATTATACCATGAAGGATAAGTGTCTATTCATATTCTGGGCTGGTAAAAAGACAACCAATTATGCCATCCTTTCCTTACATGATTGAAAGTAATTTCTTCAGAAAAAGGGACTTATGATTAAACTATAAAAATGTAGAGCAATCTATGGAGTCTTTTCTGTATCCTTGCTTGCTCTGTTGTTTTACTCATAGTAAATTACTCAGCCAACCTTATTAGATGGTTGTGTCATGGACTTTGCTCCTCTATGTAAACAAATTTAATATTTTACTCTTTCCTTCATTCAAATGTTAGATATAATGTTATAGCAGAGACGCTTTTTCTCACTGGAAGAATACGAAATACAGGTTCTATGTGTTTGGGGCCAGTGGAGAATGCCCTCTTATTTCTAATAAAATAAATAGTTCATTGAAGTAAAAGAAAAGTCAAGGAAAATCTCCCTTTGAGTATTCATTTTGAAAATCTTACTGAATCAATGTGGTTAAAATTTTTCACTTTATTTTATAGATCACATAAACATACTTCCCTCTTTTCTCCAAGCCCCATTTGTTACATACCCTTTAAGATACTATATGCATTGTTAGTGATATCTAATGGGCAATATCTAATATTTATGGTAGAGATATCTAAGGCAATCTCTAATATTTCTGTTAGTGATATCTAAGGCAATATCTAGTATTTCTGCAGAGGAGAAACAACATTGACTTTTTTGTTAGTCCTTTCAAGTGGAAGGTTAAGAAATTTCAGTATTTGGGAATTTAGTCAACTCTAAAACAGATATTCCTTGAGGCCTGTTTTATTTTAAGGACGGCATTTTTGTTTTTGCACATAGTATATTCTAAATTAGCTGGCAGAGAAGATATTATAAAAATGGATTCATTTTGGAGTTGCACTGTGAAATTCTTATTCTGTAGATGGCTCTGTTTATTAATCAATCCAAGTTCCATATTTTTACTATAAAAAGGATTGTGTTTCTTCAGAATTATGCTAACTTGTAACATAAATGCTTTCCTATGAGGCACCTGCCATAAAATAAAACTCCTCTAGAAAGAGCATAAGGGTGGTGATGCTGTGTTATTCTGTATCTTCCAGGAAATCTCAGGAAGTATATACTTCTCTGAAGGTCACATGCCTCATTGCTCTCGGAGGATAGGTTGACTTCAAGTTCATGTTCTTCTCTTTTACTAAAGTTGCATTTATTGGTCTTAGATTATCTGTCAAGAAGGATGGGACGGAAAATTAAAATGCAAGCTCCAAGAGGGTACATGCTGTTTTGTTCACCATTCTCCAAGTGTCTAGCGTAGCTTGAAGCATAAATAGGAATTTAATAAATGCTTATTGAATGAATGAAGGTCAGTGGTTTTCAGGTTCATAATCTCATTCTTTATATAGGAGATTCTTTGTGTTCATAATCTCATTCTTAATCACTTCACTAAATCACAAAGATTAAGAATAAGAATTTTGGCATCAAGCAGGCGTGGATTAACTGTTGACTTTGGTTAAGTTACTAAATATTCCTTTAAACCTCAATCTCTTCATCTGAAAAGGTTAAAAATGTGGTTGTGTATGTGAAGTACTCTGAAGTATTTGGCACATAATAAACTCATGATAGATGGGCTTTATTGTGAGTAGTAGATTTTATAGGACATTTGCTTGTATTTGTGCAATTAAAAATCTACTTCAACTAAATAAAAAGTATCTAAATAAAGTGAGAGTTTTTTCTTTTTTTCTTACTTATTCTGTTACCTAAAAATGGGTAGTCCCTGCCTAGGCTTAAATTGTATTTTATTCTTGAATTAATACTTCTCTGTGTATGTCTGGACAACTGAGTAAGGGTCTTGTCTGGGGATTATATATACTGTATAAAGCACAGAAGTGCTTCCTGGAAAGGGCTGTGATGGCGTAAATGAAATTTGAGGCATATTGCCTTAGTCAAAGTCAAAGGCAAAAGATTAGAGTATGGTTTTCCAGTTGCTCAGCCAGCTCAAGATTGAGTGTTAGATTAAAACTCTTAAATAAGAATGAGCAAATACTACTAAAAGCCAAAAGCAAACATTAAAAACACTGTCTCAGCAAAATCTCCATTAGTCTTTAAAAACATAAGACACCTTCAGCATCATTGGTTCTAGCAGTGTCTGCAACTGGGGAGATGAGGGTATGACTTGGGGAAATGGCACCATCAGAACACAGGATGCCTGGCCAGCCTGAAACAGCAACCTCAGTGGAGAGATCTTCAGCCTCCGCAGCAGCACCGTCAGCATGGCCACTCTTATTTGTGGCACTGATGACCCAAGTATTATCATGACAGTGATATGGCTCAACAAAAGAAGGAAATGTGAGTTGCCACAGCCACATGATAACCAAGAACACTAGTTCAGATGTACTATTATTAGGAACTTGTTAGGAATGGCAGCTAACAACTTACTAGATAGATTTGTGAAAAAGTTGAGGAAAAATTCAAGTTCCTGCATGATTGTAAGTAAATGCAAATATAATAGAGTTTTCAGATTGCTGGTGTGCCCTTAGTTTTTCCCTGTAGACTGTGATGTATGGTCCACTTTGAGAGGAAATAAGTCAATGTAAATTGTGGTTAAAAAAACCTTTAGATGATCTTGACTTGATAAATATTCAGTGTTATATAAATTTCGGTGGGTACAAAGAGAAATGCATGATTATCATTCTTGAGCAAAAATTGCTTTGGAAGAAAACAAGATTAATATTTCAGAGTTTTAAAAAAATAAATTTCTCATTTTGTTCTGTGGAATCAATTATAAAATTCCTACTGAGAATTATTCAATAAAAATCTGATTGTCATAATCTCTAGTTTTAGAGGGAGAAAGGGAATTATGAGTCACCTACAATTAGTGTTGCTCTATATTCTCTTTGGGATCATCTTTATTAGATGATGTTCATGAAGTAGGAGTGGATTAAAATTTGTTGGTTCTGCAGGAAGTGAAAAAAGTATGACATTATGCTGCATATTCCAAAGGTGAGGAGATTTGTTTATAAATTAGTAGTTTAGGAGTTTGGATGCAAACAACAGAAACTGACTATGGTTAGTAGATACAAAATTTGTTTTTCTAAAGATGTCATGTAGGTCACAGAATTGATAGAAAAATCTTGATATTACTCCTATGATCCTCTTGATAGAACATTATCCTGTATCAGTTAACTATTGCTGGGCAAAAGCCATCTAAAACTTAATGATTTAAAAAATAGGAATTTTGTAATTGATCATGAGTTTGTAAGTCAGATGGATGACTTTCTGATCTGCTCCAGACTTGGCTGATCTTGGCTAGGCTCACTCATGCATCTGTTGTCAGCTGGGGCATCTGACATGTTTGGGGGCTAACCGGCTAATGTCTGTAGTGATAGTGATAACTCAGCCATATGTCTTTCTAGTGAGCTAATCTAAGTTTTTCTTACAGTAGCTATATACATATGTAGTTCTTATGGTAGGTATATACATCTACATGTGTGTAGCTACTGTAAGACTAGTGTGTATACACACACACACACACACACATACACAGTCACACACATACACATGTATATTAACTCTTGAGATCGAGGTTCAAGATTGGTATACCATCACTTCCTCCACTTGGCCAAATCAAGTCAGCAGAGAAAATAAAGTCTACCTCTTGTTGGGAGGGGCTCAAAGCCACATTGAGAAGTGAATGGATAAAGATGAGGAGGCCAGGGAAAGAACTGGGAACATTCTATTAAAGCCCACCTTTATTTAGCTCCCTAATTCCAGGATCCCTAGAAGCTTCCATCAATCATGACATCAAACTTGAATTCCATAGTTGAATGATCTTAATCAGGTTCAGATGTGACTCCTTAGATATAGCTCCTTTTTATTCAGAGATGTATGAACTAAAAGGCAAGTTAGCTGTCTTTCCCACAGCCAACACACAGTTGTGAGATATGCAAAAAACACTTCCATCAAAAACAGGAAGCACGGGAGTCACTAGTTTGTAGCAGCTATGAAATGCAGCTGGGAACTTTTGCAGGTCCTC